CCAAAACACTATTCGACAATATTGCATTCAGTGATAATCCTTTATCACAATGAATGTGTTATAAAACCACCTGCGTAAACTAATAACAATACCTTCAATCTATCACACGTAGTTGTGGTGTTGCATATACTCTCTTTTGTAGTATATTGCATCATTGGAAATGATGATTCATCTAAAACACATCTCTTTTGTTTATCAGTTGACCGTGGCGTCTGCATGTTAATCACAACAAAAGTACCTTTCTGCTTCTTCATCTAAAACACATTTAATTTAAGATATACGATTCTTGTGATTAAAATAAATAATTTTCTCTCAAATTATTCACTTTTCCCAGAGAAACTTTTCTTGCTATAACAACATATTACTTCATCTTCTTATGTCATGAAACTTGTGTTATTACACAAAATCAACTCAAAAAATAACAGTTCAGACATATCTCATGAAAGCACTGTTCTTACTGGATCTGACACCAAATCCAGACAAAATGAAAGGTGTCTTGTTAAATTGGAATAATATCATTCTATCATAAAACATATCTTGAAGTAACAAGACACTGAGCATTATTATGTCATGTCAAAATGTTAATTAGATTACGTTAGACTAGACCTTTATAGTGTAAGTACAACTTTAACAGGCATAAAGGTAGAAAAAAGCAAGGTCAAGGCCATCAGCAGTGGTGATTTTGAAAATCATGACATCCTGCACTACAGGTGCACTAAATGACTAGACTACACCACAATTAAGAGACAGAATATACACAAAAAAATAACAATACTGAAAAATTTACTTTATGGTACCGATGCAATTACAATGAGCTGAGAGGAATAAACACATGGCCGTTCACTGTAATGAAAGAAGGAGATTTAGTGTCTGGACAACCACAGAGTTCTATGAGAAAATAAGCAAACTCAGGCCTTTTCCACACACAATAGCTGTTAGTAGGATAGTGTGTGTTGTTGATTTCATTTTTCATGGGATTTGTTGATTTTCTTGTTACAAAAAAACAGATGCGACATCTACTGCACAGAGCAATAGGTGGGGTGATCAGAGGTATCTTACAGTAGCAGGCAGATGACTGGTTGGCTGCAGATTGATGGCCGACATGGAGATGTCTTCAGGCTCTGTCTGAGTCTGAACAGTACGCACATAAACACAGCCATTTAGTTAAAAATATCTTTTGTACTGTCACAGTAGAGAAACTTCTAATTGGGATTTGAACACAGACCTTTCAGATAAAGGATCTCTCTCAAAAGCACATAATTTTCCTCCGATAGTCCCCAGCTTATGCCAGTAACAATTACGTGTGCCAAGAGCAACGGGATTAGCATTAACATTGAAAATCATTAATGGTTTTCATGATACCCATCGTGTTATGAAAAGTAATCAAAATTCATTCTTAAAGGTTAAAAAAAGGTTAAATATTTTGGGAAAGAGGTTTATTACTCTCTTGCTGAGAATTAGATGAGAAGATCGACACCACTATCATATCTGTCTGTTGGATATGAAGCTACAGCCAGTAGCCAGTAAGCTTAGCTTAGCATAGACTTGAAAGAGGTCTGTCCAAAAGGTAATAAAACCCTATGACAAGCACCTCTAAAGCTGGAGTCTTTTCATCCAGTCTTTCTTGTGATTATGACCCATATTTACATTTATTGTTAGGTCTCTAGTGGCCTATGAAGGTAGCAAAGGAGGAAGTCAGGTGATGCATTATAAAGAGCAAGAAATTCCGTGTAAGGAGGTTGTTGTTGGTGGATGGGTGAAACAAATGCAGGACTTTCACACAGGAGACCAATGTTTGAGTCAAGTGTTCAGTGACCTCTTTAAAGACCTCTGACATATAGCAATTATAAGTCGCTTTGGATAGAAATGTCTGCTAAATTAAAAGTAAAGTCACTTATTTTAACCCAAACCACAAAGTTTTCCTAATAACCAAGTATTGTTTTTTGCCTAACCTAAACATATGTGTTACCATGTGTTTAACATTGTGACTTCTGTAAACTGACTTACGGTCCGGTGACAAACTGAGACTTAAGTCATGGGCACGGCCAACACACTGTCCAGCACATAATCCCCACTAAATTCCAGAACTTTTGACAATCATACACTTTAAACAAACAATGTGTTAATAAATTAGCTTTAGAGGTGCTGATAGACAGATTGTGTTACCTAAAGACAGAAAGAGTCTAGCTGTTTCCTGCCTGTAGCTTCATATTTAGTGTACAGACGTGCAAGTGGCAACTCTTCTCATCTAACTCGCCGCAAGAAAGACTATGAGCACATTTCCCAAAATGTCAAACTATTTCTTTAAGTCTAAAAGTATCAGGTATTGTAAGTACTTCAGAGTTACCCTACAGGTACAAACATTTGTTTCTGTAATATTGTAATTAATTTAAAAAAAAAAATTTAATAAAAATGGACAAAAAAGGAAATATGCCAAAGTCAAAATTATACTAATCACATACGGAAATTGTAGGTAAAAGTACATTTTTATGTTATTTTGTCTTTTACACCACTGGTTGAAAATTGGTAAACACAGATTACAGAAAAAAGTAAAAAGTATACAATCTGCTCTGTGCAGTGATGAAAGCAGAAGGAGGTCAGATACTCCTAAACAATCAGTCATCTTCGTCTGCCAACAAGTGCAATATGTTGAAACATGGGGTCACATCATGCAAGCTGTGGATTAAGTATGAAAGACTCAGATTATTGGATTAGTCTTTGGACCCTCTGTAATGCAGTCCTCATTGAATCTGACCTGCATGGCAGTGCTTCTGTATGTGTGTGTTTGCATATGTGCGGACATGTGGGTTGATGGTGAATTTTTCTGTGAACTAAGATGATTACAGAGAAACGGAAATGCTCCATATACTGGATGCCCCACATAGAATGACCTGTCACTCTCCATTGGCCTTACAGCACAATGCTTAGGAATGTTGCAATCGCCAAGAAGCACCATTCAGATAAAAAGTGCCGGGTTTTGGCCAAGCCTCATTATGAAGATGTGTTAAAATGCTAACAATTACATTTCAAGCAAATAAAAAAGAAATGTTTTCTTTGTGTTTGTTGTGTCTTCTTTTAAAATGCCATAATCTAACATAATGCTCATCAATTTGATGCTGTTCACTATATAATATAAAAGGAAAATTTACTTTTTTTATAACCTCTGATCTTTCCTGTTGGCTGTCCACAATAAATGCACCAACTTCATTGCTGAGACTCTACAGTCCACAATTTAACATATTAAACCGTAATGTCAAAGTGAAAATGAGTTCATTCAAGCCACACCAGCTGGTGATTGAGCCAGTGATTGTGAAGCAAGACTGAAACAGCTGATACCTATTAGCTGATAAAAGCGAGAATTCAATGCCAGTCTAAACTAAATCTATACTCTAAATATCTCCAGAAGTGCTGAGTCAAAAGGTTTCTGGACCTGCTTTTGATCCTTCAAAATGTTTAATCTCTCATCCTAAATACCTATCTGACATTTAAAGTTAGAAATGTACAACATAAGCCAGGCTCCAATACTCACTGTAATTTGTGAGAGGAGATATATGGCCGGGTCAGTGGCGATGTGGGTGGCAGTTCTCTCAAACTCTCTTGTGTTGTGGCCTCTCACCTTTGACCTCTGGCTGGCATGACGCACCTGTTTGACATCACTGGACAATTGACGACTGGCAGGAATCTGAGATGAGCAATCCTCCTCCGTGTCTGAGAAGCGAGCCTGAGAAGACACACAGACGAAATCACAAACACACAAGACTAAAATCAGCAACTCGTAATTCAAAGTATTTGTAATAGGAAGTGTAAGACATAGACATACCATATTAGATATGAGATACACTCACTGATTCGCTGTCAGAAAGGGAGGAGTTGTGCGGTCTGCTGGGGCATTTGCTCTCTGATTGGCTGGTGAGGGTTGATCGGCGGGTGGACTGGAGACTGCTGCTGCTGAAACGGTCTCTTCCAGTAACGCACAGCAATACCCCGAGGTAGGGAATGTACTTGGTGAGTGCTGACCTGAGAGAGAGATAGAAAGAAATATTAAAATCCAAATGAACAAATTTATTATATGATAGTAAAGCGTAGGGACCTCTGACAACCCTGAATGCCAAGCTGAATTAGGCCAATTAGGGTTTAAAAAAAGAATAAACAAATTATATAAATACATTAAAGCCAGTGACCCCAGCAGCTACATTACATTTGCTCTGTGTTGCCAAGAGGAATAATTATTCATAGTAATTTATAGTTCAGTCAGGACAACTTTAATCAAAAATACTGATGTTTGCTCTGTAGTAAGTTATGTTTGACAGTATGGCTCTGTTCTGGGATATCCCTGCCCTTCCACGTGCCTACGTGGAAAGCCCCAAGGTACAGAACAGAGCAGGCATCTATAACAACAGAAATAATATTATTAATCAGACAGCCTGAAAGGAGGAGCTGGGGTAGCAGTGGGAAACAAGTTGCTTGCAGAGAAAGCAGCAAGGGTAGACAGGCTAAAGCAGCTTAAATAAGGCGCCTTTTATGGAATTTACCAATGAATGCCATGAGGGGAATCAGCTGAGCTGCTAGCTGATGTGGCTGGCTTTGAGATGGGCTGCAATCAGCTGATGTGCTGGGATTGTGAGCTGAGCTTGACTTTGTTGTCTGCCTGAAATTACGATATGCTTGATTTGTGCATTCAGTGGTTTGTGGTAGTGCTACACATAGACACCATATACACTGTTGACAGATGTTTCCACAGGGAGAGTATATTAAATTCTATGACAGCTACAGAAACCATGAGGCGACCACAAGAACTTTGAGTGTCAGCATGGGCTGCTTGTGATTTCTCCCACAAGATTCTGAGATTGTAAGAAGACTATATGAAGCCACTAGAGGGAAAGTGCTGTAATTGGCTGGCTTTCAGAAACACACATCTAACAAAGCCTTTTCACATGCAAACCCTCTGCACGCTGCAATCGTTGCTCTCCATCAAGTGAATCAATTAGTGTCAAAAATACACCCATTAGAACAGTACGTTGCCTCAGCACTGCCCTCACACAACCTAGGCCAAGGAAATTAAAGCCAAAGAAAAAGAAAAGTACACCACCCACCAGCGACTTTACATTAGGCCATACCAGATGGAATTGTGCAGACGATTTGGAGTATTTGGACTGACTTGTGAATGAAAAAAAGCACATCCAGAAATTCAGTTTTTGCTTGACATTGCTATTCATTCCTATTTTAAGATACATACTGTAATTTTATTATTGAGGCAAGGTAAAAGACTTCTATGCATTCATATTTATTGCGGTTAGCAAACTACTGTTTGTCTGTTCTGGTGGTGGCGAACAGTTCGGCTGTTGGGCTGGCAGGGACAAGCTGATAAGGCTGGCCCTTCAGTACCCCAGTAATAGAGTTTGGTAGAGAAGCCTCTCTGTGCATGCCATACTCATTTTCTATGATTGCCTGAGGGGCCCTTTGGTGTTGGCCCCATGACTGGTATCACCCATCTCACTGTACAAATCTGCCATTCACTGGTGAAGTCAATTAATACGTATTTGTCTTAATTTTTAATTGTTGTGCTGGTTAGTATTCCAGTGAGTGCATTGCTAATGTAACAGCAAACCTGTACCAATAATTGAAATTTAAAGCATGAATTGTGTGAATAATTTGTTAAAAGCTAAAAAAGTTTAGCACTTGCCATTGGAAATGAAGCTGGAGATTATCTTAAAGAGAAAAATGGACCACACAAACCTACTGATATCATCTTCACTTAAGCAGTAATGAACAAAAACTGTGTCTTTAGAAAACATGGCTAACTGTTAGCACTTTGCATATTTTATATTTTATATATTTGCATATATAGCATATTTCACACAAAGGAGACGGTAATGAAGACTGTATTAGCCCGGCAGTTGGAAATCTCAAGAGCCACATGAACCAGCTGTGGGGCGAGCAGATGTTATCAAGATGCACAAAACAGTGTAAAGCGGAGTAAAACAACACATTGGCGGTTATGAAGGAGGCGTGCAATAGGTTTTTGCAAAAATGACTATTTGATTTCAGTTGCTTTTCCTTGCACATAGCTTTAGTGAGCTGTAAACATATGGTCCATTGTGAACAAGGCAAAACACAACTGAGCCACTGCACCAATGCACTGTTTCTGTTGAGGTCAATACATGACAGCAACCTGTAGCCAGCTTTCTCAGAAATTTTTTCACACTGAAAAGGATTATGATATTTACACGCAACACAGTGGGACAGGGAAGGATGAACACCTTTGCCATGTAATCAATTGAAAATGAATTCATTAATGGACAACAGCAAAGTTATTGAGATGTTTTCACGCAGGAAAGAATATAGAGCAACCTTTGGTTTCAAGAAATAATGTGAATAATTTTCCTGTTGCATTTGTATTATATTTTTAATTGACCTCTCTTTTAGTTAGTCTGGTTTATCAACTTGGCATATGTTTAAGTTTTAGAATTGTAAAAAGGTCCAAATGGGATCCAGCTCTTGTAATACTGACTTCATCCCGCCCTTGGGCTACTACTTTTAATATTCTCTCTCTCTCTCTCTCTCTGAGTTTATTAGTTCATAACATTCCTGTCGTTTTTTTAGTCATCTATTTTAGTCACTGTTGAATTAAAATTGGAACCACAAACTGGAATTGACATTAATTGGTTTTATATTAGAGTGTCAAACTACTATGTCAGATGATGCCTGGTAAAATCAAAGATGATGTGCCTTGATCCACCAACATTTCTGTGTCAAAAACGTCACTGACACTAACTACTGGTCTACTACAACAAATTCTGAAAATAATCTTCCGTTGTATTTAGTGCTGATCAGACAAGACAGATTATTTGCCATTGTGAGCAACCAGAACCATTAATTGAATATGTACAGAGTGACCATACCCTAGAGCCTTGAGGTGGGTAGACACAGACAAACCTGACAACACAGAGAAAACAGAGCCAGTTCTGCCATCAACAAGTAGAGAAAGAGCAAAACCAAAATTTGAAACACTCTTAGACCAAATAACATTTTACTTGGGGAGAAAACAGATATTGCCATGGAAGCAGCAAAATATATGAAAGCATTTCACATCCCGAGGTAAAACTGGAGGAATAACAAATGAAGCTGAGCTACTTCAAAAATTTCCTCCTGTTTTGTTGACAATTGTATCTCTCATTGTATCATGTTTTTTAAATATTTTTGTTTATTTGTTTGCAAAGTCTTTTGTTTTTCCTTATCTTTATAATACACTGTATAGTATAGTAAAGAGTACAAATTATTAGTATTACTTACATTGCAAACCCAATGCAACCTGCAATACTGTACTTTATGCAAATATATGCAAAGAAGGTAAACTTGAATTTCAGAGAGAGCGAGGGAGAAAGAGTATAGCTGGGTCTCCAATAAAAGCCTGTGGAAATGATAAATTAAAGTATGTTATTTCCATCACATTAATCTGCTGTTAATGAAACTACTAACACTTGCATTATTGTGTGCATTGTACCTGTATTTGGGGTGTGTTATGGCATATACAATGGGGTTGTAGATAGCAGATGCTTTGGCGATCACAGCAGGAACAGAGTTCATATATGGAGTCAACATGTGAGCGTACCTGAGAGAGTCAGAAGAGAGGAGAGTGGGGACAGATGTTGGCAAGAGGGAGAAAAATGAGAGAAGGGAATTAGACATATTCATGTGACAAGAGCAGTGGTGGGTGTGTAGAGACACAGGGGTGAGGCTCACAGTCGCACTCACTTTCAATGTTGGATGTTGTTGTTTAAAGATCACATAAAATGTGCACTTGAAATGCAAACAGTGTATTTTTACTGATTTTATGCTACAGTATTAAGCGTAGCGTTGCTGATTTTTAGCTGTCACTTGGGGGCAGCAAAAACAAGCTGTAAACACAACATTGACATATATTGATCTTATAAAGTTGATACGGTGAACTCGTTCGTTGCCTATTTACACATCCAGCAGTTATGAAGCAACATTATCTTTCATTTGGAGGTATGTTTCTGTTCTCCAGTAATAAACAAAAACTGTGTCTTTAGAAAACGTGGCTAACAGTTAGCACTTTAATATTTCACACAAAGGAGACGTATTCACTCTTTTGGTGCTGAGTAGTGTACAGTGGAGTTTGCTGCTGAAAACAAAGCTATGAGAGAGAGGCCAGGGGGTAGAGCGGTCATGCACTTATCATAAGGTCAGTAGTTCGATCCCTGGCTCCCTCAGTCTGCATGTCAATGTGTCATTGGGCAATATACTAAACCCTTGCTCCATCGGTGTGTGGATGTGTATGAATTTGTTGCCATTCCTGATGGCAGTTGGCACCTTAGCCTCTGCCGTACAGTGTGTGAATGTGATGAATTGTAAAAGTGCTCTGAGTGGTCTGAAAGACTGAAAAGGTGCTATACAAGTACAGACCATTTACCATAAAGCTCCATATAGTTGAGGGGAGCTGTAGATTCATGTGAAAATTCTTTGTAAGTTCATCACTCCGAGCAACTCCTTTCACATCGTCACATTGTTTTCACATTGTCATTTGATACATTGTTATTATAAAAATGTTGATTATGTTTAACTAAAATCTGTTCTTTGATTTCAAGTTCATGCATATGTTTGTTATGATGGGGATTAGCTCTCCCAAAATCCTCATTGCTGCCCAGATAGTTTGAGAGCTCCCCTAAAGAGCAGAAACATTTATGCCAAATCTATCTGTATAACTATTTGCTGTAAATGTGTCTGAATCACAATTAATGTCCCATCTTTCAGGCAGCAAGTAGTTTCATTTTATGCCAATATAACTAGTATCAACTTGCAGAGCCTTAAAGTAATATTTATTGGTACATTATATATATAATATATTAGATCTTTGTCTTGCTTTATAATGAAAAAACCCTGGATGTTCTCTCATATATCCATTGCTAAACCTGCTGCCACCACAACCCCTGTCTGGTTAAAATGGTGATAGATGAATAGATGAGCTTAAACTACCTGTACTGCTTTACTATTATGAACTACATCCCCCCAAAATATAGCGCTTCATTATTATGGGGATGCTTTGAATCACTAGATTAAAGAAAATATCTCTTTAGCGGTCTTTAACAAAGTACACACACCTACCCAGCGAATGCAGTGAGGGCTGCACAGGAGTAAGGGGCCCAGGAGATGACATATAGTAGGATGACAATAAGTGCGATCTTGGCCATCTTCCACTCACTCTTCATCTTACGGAATCTCTTGGCAGAGTTTCTTGTTCCCTCACATTTGATCTTTGTTATCGCTCTGTCAAACACAGAGACACTCAACATGGTTATGAAAGCTTATATTTGTCAGGGGTTTTATTGTATTTTTCTTTTAGTTAATTTATTTTGACGTCTAAGTTAATTGATGTAGTCGTGTATTGTACTCGTCGTGTACACACAAAATTCACCAATCACCAACACTGACAGTACTGCCAGGATAGGCAGTATTATCGTTCAGGTCGAGTGAGACATCAGTGGAATAGATAAACTCTGACAAAGTTGTTAATCAGCAAGACATCAATATCATCACACTTGTACCAACCGTGTTGTGTGTCGGATGGCTCTGAAGATGCAGCAGTAGCTAAAGATGATGATGGCGAGAGGGATGAAGAAGACAAAGGTAAAGAGCAGCATGGTGTAGGAGCGGACAGAAGGGGTAAATGTCATGTAGTCCCAGGAACAAGACGTCATCAGACCCTCTGGGACATAGGCACCTGTGAGAGAAAATAAACACTTTAGTTGTTGCTTCCCACGAGTTCCTATTTTTCTGTTGGTTTCTGCATTGAATAACTTCCAGCTTCTTCCCTATCTGAAAGTTGAACTACATGCATTTGTAATATCTTGGCAACTGTACATGCAGTATGCGGTGTCCTTACGATAACCTGTAGTAAAATTGTTGAATTTCACATTGTACCTCATTTGACATTCCAGTTCTCAGGGGATGTTAGGGCTGCTGTACTGAGGCTCCATCTACTGATAAATTTTGAAAAAAAAACACCTTTCCAACGGTGGAGAGACCTCTGAGAGTTGAAAGGCATCAAGATGGATGCCGAGGTTTTTCTATTTCTACTTAAAAGGTGAGTAGCGTTAGTGTTGCTAATGTTTTGTCTGTTGTTGTGTTAGTAGCAGGAGAGCTGTGAGTATTGCTGTCAGGAGCTGGTGTGCTGGCAAGACAAGACAAACCGACAATGTCGTACTCAAGCATTGATAATACTTTAAGCACCTAAATCTGATTGTTTGATGAAAACTCTATTATGTAGTATTATCTGTCAAGCTGTAAAATCCATCAGAGAAAGCTGTTGGAGCGCTCTCTCCAGACCACACCACTTCTTCTATAAATTTCACACAAAGTCCACAAAATTACACACCCACATAAAGAGACACTACAATCTGTCTTTGTGTAAACATTTGAACAAAACTAAGCATACACTTACATACATAACAACAGCAGACTTTAAAACACTGTATCTCCCTTTCTCCAGACACGAAAGGAAGCCCTAAGTCACTTTTATTACATGATGTGTAAAGTTGTTGTGGGGGTGGGGGCTCCAAACCCCAAAAGAATGTTTAGTGGAAATTGCTACTGCAACATGGTCAATGCAGAGTGACAGAACTTTGACAGGGGCTCCCAGTATGTGTATCCAAAAGACATGTTGTTTCTATTTGAATACATATACAATATGTCTGACATTCTAAACTTCCGTCTGTTCAGCAAACCTTGTGTTTTTGTCCTGTGATAATTTAAGTCCTTTTTGGACAGACACCTAGTAGTAAGTGTCAGAGCTGTTTCCTGTTATGTTGTTTCAACAGTTCAATAAGCGTTCACAGCGTACTGAACTGATTGTATTTGTTGTTATGTCTAAGTAACTTAATTTAATTACCAACTCTGTGGCATCTGCCTTCTGACAAGGTCATAGTAGGTAAGGCCCGCCCGATTGAAAATCGATAGCTACTAAAATTGACTACCTGTGACCGTGACAGCAGTCAGAGTAAAGTGTGACGTGCAAGAAGTATAGAGAATTAACCTAATGGAGGCTGCTTGTTAACACCAACATATAGTCTGTTACAAAAAGTAAGACTTCACAACCTCATCATGACTTATTTTTGGGCTGTTGTAATGTCAGCTACAGGTAAGCATGAGGTGATCTGCCTTCTGATAACTGATTTAAATGTATTTGGCAGCTTGACAAAAGGCAAAGTCTGATCTATTTGAGATAGCAGTAACTTTCATCAGGAATTTGACATGCAGACACAAAACAAAAACAGTGAGATCGAAGTTATGAGACAGAGCTCAACAAATCCCTCAGAGGAATCACACTGATCAATAATGACTCTGTTTCTAGGTATCTGAGTGCAGTTGTACTCACTCCAGCCAAAGAAGGGGGGTAGGCTCCAGCCCATGGAGTAGAACCAGGCAGCACCCACGATGCTCAGGGCTTTCCTGCGAGACATCTCCCCCAAGGAGGCCAGAGGCCTGGTGATCACCATGTACCGGTCCACCGCAATCACCATTAGTGTAATCATGCTACAGATACCAAACAGTGCTCCGCAGAATGCATATACCTCACAACCTGCACCAGGAGAGGTAAAGGAGGGACAAAGAAGCAGTAGAGGGGAAGAAAAAATATGTTTGATATCCGGATAAATGCATTTCTGGCAGTAGATCCTGCAGCTGGGAAAGTCTACAGTTGAAAGTATTGTGTGATAGATGAAAAGAGCTGAAAGGCTGAAAACAGCCAGAACTAATGATAATACAGTTACATTAACCTAAGTTTGGAAACAAATGTTTGTACCCATAGTCTTTTTTTCCTTTTACATTTTAGCCATGCTAGCCACATAGCTTGAGGAATGGTTGATGACTTGATTCTGTCATGGTTTTGTGGTTATTTCCTGTTTTATTTTGTTAAACCCTTCCTCTTGTGTCTGTGCTTACTTAACTCCTCGTCTCTCTGTTTTTTGCTTACAGTCTATGGTTTTTCCTTGTTTATTGATTTGTTCTGTAAACTTCCACCTTTATTTTGTTACTTATGTCTCCTCTCGTTTCTGTTCACTTCACTTCCTGCTCTTGTGTTTTCCTGCTTGTTGCACCTGTGCCTTGTTAATCACCTCCCTCTTGTATATTTAAGTGTGTGTCTTCCCATTGTCTGTTGTAGGATATATAAGTTTTCTTAATAAACAGTAGGAGCTTTCACACTGCCTTATTTTCTGGGATTATAACAACAATATTCCAGCTCGCTGCGCTGTATGAAAGGTACGGGGGAGGGGGGTCAGATTTGAGCCGGGAATGTTGGTAGTAACAGAGACGGAACAATGTATGTGGAAAAAGCCATGGAAAAGGTGTGGCGTTTCAATGCTGTTGTCTTACAAGTCATGGTCTTTTTTTTCACGGTCTAACCCTGAGAGCCGGATCACTGTGTGAAAGGACACATGGCTGTTGGATTATGGCGACAATATTTTGTTCAGT